TAAACGAAAGGGACGAATATGAATCATCATAAGAAAATATAGGAGTTTTTGCGCTAGAACTTTGCCTAGTACATCAAACAGGCATATCACTGTAAAACAAACAAAATAGCTTAAACCCCAACGCCAAAACACGACACTTTAGTTGTTCGAAGCACTTTTCGGTAACAAGGAACTAAAAGTTCACTTCAGTCCCTGAAGAAGTTAATCTTGTTACCGAAAAGTGCTTCGGACAACTAAAGTGTCGAGTTATGGCGTTGCGGTTTGAGCTATTTTGTTTATCCTACAACAACCGCCAAAGTTTTTCCAGTCTTCATATTTAGGCATATCATTATCATAAACATTAAAACAAAATAAAAACACTAAAATGTATCTTAAATTAAAGAAAACTTCAAAGAAATTCAAAAACAAAACAAATTAAGTTCAGAAACAAGACCAGACTCATCACAATGAAAGAAAAATATTGTAGTTACACAGTAACGGTTATTCAAATTCATTTTAAACTAAGCGAAGGTTTCTAACTACACAAAATGTCGTTTCTATTTATTATGTTTACGAGTTAAGAAATGCAAACCTCCCTAGAGAAATCATAATCGCATTTAAACCAGACAGAGAAACAAGAATAACGAATGATAAAGTTCTGGAGTATGCCTGAGGGATGTTAAGATTAAACCGGAGCTCCAATGTCCCTTTCAAATCGAACGCCCACGACTCTCTAAAATATTACTTTGCAAGCTTTATTAACACAAAAATCAATTGAGCTCATCTCAAACCAACTGTAGAATGACACCATAATCAACAAAAAAAATCAAAATAATTGATACCATAATGGCGTCTGGTCATAAGAGACCTTAAATTGTGACACTTTTTTTTGAAAATTGTATTACCTTTTAGTCGCTTTTGAAACTAGCACTGCTTTCAATGACATCTAGGCGGAATAGAAAATAGTGATTTCTTCGAATTGGCTTCCAAATCCACGCAAAATTAAAAACCAAAAGTTCATTACTCTAAAGTGTCTAGAGCAAGGCTGTCCAACCTCACGCCCACAGGCATTGAACTAATTGTAAATGTCCTACGTGAACAAGTTTTAAAATTCCAAATTTGAATGAGAAGTTAATGTTTTCATAATAAACTGCAAAGTATTACGAAACTAAAATTAGATGCTTATTACAGTTATTTCTTGATAGTACAAAACAATATCTACAAATTTTCGTTAATCCTTTCATAATAAGCTTGACTGAAGTAATCAGTTATCATGCCAATATCCAGTTGGAACTCGGTGAACTGCACAATTATTCTACACTAAAAAACCTTTTTACGTAAGTCTCAAACTTCTTCAGAAGAATTTTGAGATGATTTCTATAAATTATTGTCAAAAGAAGGATTTCCTGCAATACCTAACTAGGCCTTTCAAGTTTTAAGTTGTTTTGAAAAGTTTTTCAAATCTTAATTTTGCAAATAATAAACACCGTGCATTGACTTGTTCTTGGTGTCAACATCTTACGTATCCTCTAGCATAAGAAAAATATTAAAACAAAAACTATGTCAGAAATCGCATTGACTATACCAATAACTTGGCTTTAGATTTTTATAACATAAGATTTGGTTCTTTGTTTGATAGAAGATGCTATTTATTTTAATAAACCACATTAAATTTCAAAATGTTGATTATTTTGTTGCACAAGCTTAGGCTGTCAATGAATCAATAAATAATGAGTAGCCCGCCGATGATTTTTAAAGTGTCAACTTCGCCCAACTGTTAATAAGGTTGGACAGGCTCGCTTTAGAGCAATTTAAAACAAGTCTAATTATAAACTTTAAACAGTTTATTAACCAATTTAAGAATTTGGAATCGAAATTGTCTATTTTGTTATCTATACTATAAAAGTAGAGTTTTTTTGCAATCTATGGTAACCGTACCTTTAAAAAAGCAAGTCAAACTCATTAGCCGTATTATACACCACTCATTTTTCTTATTCAAGACGCGTTCAGTTTTAGAAAAATAAATGATGTTAAAATTTCAAAGGTCATCAATCTTATTTGCAATCTTTAGAGAAAGCTATTTCCTACAGTTCATCGTGCTGAAATAGTGAACAATTCTTTTTAGAAGATACCTAATCTAATCGTAAATCCTGCGAGTTACAACCAAGAATATAAAAAAAAAGATATGTACTGTAGCAAATAATAATGGTTTCTGTATATACGAGATAACAGACACAGGAAATTGGAGAGAATATAAAAGTATAAATGTATGTCAATTTGTGATCTTAACACTATGACCAACGTAGTTACGTATAATTAAATAGGTATCAAATTTTGTACCTCATGGAAATAGAAATTTTATTCATTTACTCCAAGAATTGAACTGAATCACATATAAATTGGACAAAAGATTTAGCCCAGGGATGGTCGACCAGCGAGCAGCGAGTTGCATGCGACCCTCTTAAACATTTTTTGTTACGAAATATAGTTACTTTATAGCCAAAGTAGTAAAAACCAATGTATTAAATAATACATCTGTATATTCAAAAGTTAACTATCGAAATTGTTATACAAAATTAACTTTTATTTTAAAACAATATTCTTTGTTTTGTTATTGAGTTTACAGACAAGAATACAAAAAAAGTCTATAAAGTTATTCGATTTATTTCCAAAGTGGCTCGCAAGATCGTTTGGGTTACTCACCCCTGCTTTAAGCATTCAAACTGATTGCTCCTTCAGTTCTCCCAACAGAATCATGAATACTTAATTTTTAAATTGTTTTAAACGTAATTACCTTAATATTCACTGTTACAAACATATGTATATGATGGAGACCTCCAGTACTTGTTACGACTTCAGTTAAAAAATAAAAAAGGAAGTGTCCAATTTTAAAATAACTTTCTCTTTGTGCCATTTAAATACGGGATATGCAATTTCGTAATAAAAACAATAGAAGTTACTTGTATCAGTGGGCGTGATGGACACTTCCGTTGGTAATGGTGTTTTGGAAGTCGGCGCCATGTACGCACGCAGCGGCTTACTTAATTAACGCGAGTTTTACGGTATTTCGAAACAAGCCTAATCCTCCCTATCGTTGCAGCAATGTAGCGGAAAGGCCGGTTAAAATTAGGAACCGATTGCCCAGGCCAGTGGACCCGAAACTCACGATTATTTCGAATTTGTAAATGTTCTAAGCGAAACGAACGACTGACGTTCTGATTACCTCTCGCTTCCAAATGGAAATAAACAACCGAACCGTTAAAGTTTCGATCATTTGCAATAATAGGTGAATCGAATTCCTACAAGTTTCATCGACCGAGGTATTTCTGACAGTAAAAAAAACCAAAAGTTTTGATAATAAAAAAATCCGGTGAGCTTTTCTTGGTGATGACTTGATAACAATTCATCATCATCATAAGGTCATCAATCCTGATTGATACTGATTGGACACGCATCACCATTCCTTCATATCCTGAACTAATCTTCGCATTTCCCTAAAACTAGAACAACCCACATCCTTAACTATTTGCGAACAGTAATCTAACCTAGGTCTACCTCTACCCCTCCTAGCACCCGTTTCTACCTCTAATATGTCTCTGACTAGACCTTCATGCCTGAGAAGGTCCTACCAACCTATCTCGCCTATTTGTTGTTGATTTCCATAGTCATCTGTTCTCCTATTCTTTCTAATGCATCTTCATTTCTAACCTTCTCTATCAACGGTATCCTCATCATTCGTCTGTAACACCACATTTCGAACGCTTCTAACCTTTTCTTGTCCGCCGCGCCCACCATCCATGTTTCGCACCCGTACAGCGCCGCGTTCCAAACATACACCTTTAACAATCTTCTTCGAATTTCTAAATTAATCGTTCGCGAGCATAAATGTGACTATTTTTTATTGAAGGCGGCTCGACCCTGCGCTATCCTCTGCTTTATATCCTTACTACTTCTTCCGTCCTGACTTATCTAACTTCTTACATACCTAAAATTACTTCTTCTAATTTTTCATCTCCTATCTTTATATTCGCTCTTTCCCTTTTTCTTCCCTTGCATACCATCTATACCTGGCGCTTTATTATTCTTTATTTAAGTTTATTAATGCTACATCGAACTCTTCTCTCATTATGGATAAGCTAGCTCCCCTATCTGCACACTAACTTCTTTCTCTAATATATCTCCCAACTCATGGCCTGTGTATAGGTGCTCTAAATATTATTTCCACCTATCTGCCTTTTCCTCATTTTCTATCAAAATAACCCCTGCCTCGTTTCTTATATTATTACTACTCTAAAATTCCTTTGATGACGATTACATAAATATTATTTCAATAGTAAAAATAGAAAACTACCCTTACTTTTAATTTAAATAATTAGGAATTAATTTTAAAGAGACTTCCAAAACCTCTGCTGTAACAGAAAGCCTCTTTTTGTTTTTTTTTTCCATAATAATAATTATGAATCCAAAAAAATTTTAATTTTCTTCAGTGTTGTAAACATAAAGCGCACCTACCACCACGTTTTCATCGTATGAATACATCAATCAATTCCTTTGTTGCAATATTAAGTTATGATACACAATCCCGTAAACAATAATTATAAATTAACTCTCTTTTTACATCGCTGAAGAGCTATTTCTCCAAAGGGGTTGCAGAAACAGGCAACCAGTTTCATGCAATCGGTTTCATGAAAGTATTTTGCGATTTTCGTGGAAATGGACGAGCTTCCTAAAAGAATCGATGCCTAATACGTGGTACCATCTCATCCTTTACTAAGATTCTGCAAAACCCTCCCGTTTTTCATAATTTTAGTTTTAGAAGTTTCGGAAAGAATGTTATTAGGTACCACGACAATTACCTGCATCAAGGGATTATTCGGTTGTAGCAGACAGAAAGACAGACGAACTCACGGCACAAAAGTAAGTGCCATTTCAATATAATCAAATTTTGTTTGTAATTCTTCCGCTTCCTTGACAATCTTATCAGCAAACTATCATTTCAAAAAACATAAAAACAATCTTACCTTTTCCCGAAGCATATCCCGTGTCCTGGTAGCTTGAGTCCGACTTCTATGGAGTTCGAGTTGAAGTTCCAGGCATCTCTCTTGCCAGTTAATGGGCTCCTGGTTGGGCTCATAGTGATGACGGTGCAATCCCGAACTCCCGTCCAACATTTCGTAAGCAGCAAAGGGTTGCACGATGGGTCCTTGTTGCTTCGGTTGTTCGCTACCCTTCCTTCGAGGTAATAGACGCGGGCTGGACGGGGTTGAACGCGTTTCGCGAGTAAGTTCATGAAGCCGCGTTAGCGGATCGAATATTTGACTTAGACGACGCGGTTTCGTTCCACTTTCACTCTCCATGCTCAAGGACGAGTCGGAAGAACAGCGATTATCCGAAGAACGCATGAACGCAAACAAGCAATAACCTCAATAGCACGAAGAATTGGAGAATAGAAGAATTATCTTCAATTTCAAAATAAGTATTCGCTGATATAGATCAGAACAAATGCATGTTTCTATATTTCCGAAGCAATGAAGCCTGTTCATGTCAAGGTCGGTGGAAGGAGTTAATTATCCTCAGACAGACGATTTAGAAACCATAAAGCTTTAGTCGAGTACCATTCTGTTACAATCACTTTTCCTTTTTTAACAGTAAACTAAATTGCAATAGAGAATTTAACAGATCATAAAATTCCTCAAACTTCAACAAACACCCTTTATTATCAGGAAGCAACCGTAGATGTGGCACTTAAAAATCTCACAACCTAATCCCCCTATCACTCTAAACAAAAATTAGATAAGCTCGAAACTCTATTCTCAAATATACCGTTTACGTTATTTCCATTGTATTCCTTAATATTCGAGAAAATATAAAATTTCATGAACCATCCAAAGAAACACCATGTAGCACCATAATTACGAAATATTTTTCAAGCTCAATACTACCAATGTACCATCAAGGTTTAAATGTTAACACATGAAGAATCCGTCCATCGAAACGTTCACTTTACGAAAACCGATTTGTTTGTCACGAACTAGCACTTAAGTCATTCTTCACTAATCGGAAGTAGTTTCCACACTCCGTTCGTAGCGCGTCGATAGTCCTGGAGGACCACGTTTTCCTTACCGATCATTCGAGCTTGACTCCTACTTACGATCGCACAATCGCTGCGTCCAGGGCACCTCTTCCCATCGACGAAGTGCATGGCCAATGACCCCATAACAGTCTTAGAACTGTGTCTTACAATTAGAAGGTCGTCGCACGACTCATTGATGGAAGAGAAGACGGTTGCGGTAAGACAAACTGCTTGCTTGCCGGCTTATGCGAGTGGGGCGGGTTGGTGGGCGGCTCGACTGAGCCAGTCACTTTTATTTCGTACGCAATACACACAATCACACAGCGGACTTAACACGCACGTACGGTACACGTACGTGCTATTTACTGGTTGACAATAATTGTGCGGACGATATAAGTCAGTCGTCGTGGTCTGGCTGTTTTTATAGATGAAGAAAAAGAGACGTCACTGATACTGGTGGGAATGTTTTGGACGGCGCTCAATCTGTAACAAAAGACATAAGTAAAGTAACTGTATAAATGTTTCGTAAACATCAAATACTATAACTGTTACTTTAAAAGGGTAACACTTTTCGAGTTAGTACCTTTCTTGAGAGCAAGCTGTACGAAAAAAAGTTTGGTAAATAGAGTAAATATATACATAAATTACAATAAATGGTTCAACACGAGTTTATTAAATTAATAAAAAAATTTGTGCCGACTACCGCGAATTATCAAGAGTGCAGTGCCTTCCGTGACTTTGAGCCACTTTATTACAATTACCTTAAAGTTTTACCTTTATCTCTATGTTTGTCAACTCACGTCAATTGTAAGAATAAAAGAAAAAAATTAATGACTTTGGTTGACACCTACTGATTAATTAAATACAATTAAACACACAAAACACAAATGTTTCATTCAAAAACTCTACATTGGTATCTTTCGACCTGCTAATTGAACTTTTTTTCTTTTCTTTTCATTCTTTCTTTAAAGGAAAAGGATAGAAACATTCGAAATGAAGCGTTAAGGGCGAACGATGAGGATACCGTAAATATATAGGGATAAAAATGAGGAGACATTAGAACGGGTAGGAGAACAGAGGGCGCTATGGAAGTCAATAAGAAATAAGATAGGTTGGTGGGACACGTTCTCAAGCATGAAGGGTGAGTTAGAGATGTATTAGAAGCAGAAACAGGAATTAAAAGGAGTAACGGTCGTTAGGAAGGATAGAGGTAGACCTAGATAAGATTACTGTTCACAAATAGTTAAGGATGTGGGATGCTCTAATTTAACGAAAATGCGAAGATTAGCACAGAATATGAAAAAGTTGTAGTGTGTGTCCAACCACTCAGGACTGTCGACTCCATAATGATAATGAGAATGTTGATAATTGTCATAATTCTAAAGTAAGTTCTACTAAGTATTAAATGTTAATCAAATAGGAAAAAATATGTAAAAATCGAAACAGTTAAACGCAAAAAGAACGATATAGGAATTGAAAAAAAGAAAGTATCAAATTAGCCCTTAATGTGTCCAAATTATTTTTGAATTAAACAGTAATTTCCAGGAGAATGTCGTTCGGTTTTAGGATAGGACGTCGAGTATGTCATTTTTGTTGGAAATAAACGATAAACAAGGATTTCTAACATGTAAAGTTAATCTTCTCTTCAAATCGATGGAAATTATGTCAATAAAAGTCTACACTTGTGATACTTTGATATTCTTGTAAAAGGTAAAGGGAGTATCGACAGGGTAAGTTTTGTTTTAAAAAGAAAGTATTAAAAACAAAAACAAGAAATACTACTAGAATAGTAAGTTACCTATCCAGATATGACTGAGCTCAAGATAGATGAAAAGATGAAAATAAGTAAGTCAAATAAGGCAACCCAATGTAACAAAGACTGTAAAGCAATCAATATTCGTTAACATATACTATAAAACTTGCTGATAATGTTAAAATTTTCTATGTTCTGATTTTAGAATGTTAAAATGATTAAATTTTCTACAGCAATATTTTTCATTAAATTTGTTCGCATTTATGCTATTTAAACGCTAAAAATGAACTATTTTAGTATTAAATTACGCCTTTTCTTACATAAAATGTCCAAAAACGACACAATACCACAAAATTACTCCATCAAATGCCGACTATACTACAATGATTATACTACTAAAGCAAAAACAAAATGTAAGAATACATACATATGTGAAGTTATAAAAAAGATATTAATTACGTGAAACCAGCGGTATATTAAATTGCAACAGTAATGTACACCTGCATTTGAGACAAGGTAATACGTAAAAATGTTCTGCAGGAGTATATTGTACCTAATTACAAATTATAAGTATTCACACATAATAATTAAAAATTTTAAAGCGTGACGTTACGGTTCCCGTAATCATGACGTCATTAATATAAGTAACGTCCCACTAATTGACACTGGTTCACGATATTTAGTAAGATAATTAATTGAATGTTTAAAATGAAGGCTTAAAAAAGATCAAAAACACTAAATCTACCAAACACAACAACATTAACAATGTCAAACGTAACGACAGTCCTGTAGTTTTGTCCGTAGGATTGGCAACCACAATTAGTACAAATTATAATCTATTACAATAGAAAAAAATATTGTAATGTTCGAGGGTTTAACGAAATTAACTTCTAAGACTGATAACGACAAAAAATATTTATTTACATTAATTATTAAAGAACTTAAAAACACTATTAAATTATTACTAAACTTAGGTTATGAATTATTCTATTTATTTAATAGTGTTTTTAAGTTCTTTAATAATTAGTG